TCTCTCCTCATGATTCGATTTCTCCCCTTTGTTTTGGAAATTGATGGTTTTTCTCTCCAAAATGGCAAACCATCCACTCTTTCTTACTTATATACTCACCTTTTAGTTTCATTAATTAGTATGCCAAATGTCCTAAATTAAGTTGGCCAAGTAAAAACTAAAAGAAAACTTTGGAAGGCAAGGTGGCGTTTTTGGAAGTCAAAGGTGATGAGTTGGCTTCCATGCATTTAATTAAGTTGCTTAGGTGTCTTAACTAAGGAATTAGGCTAACTAAATTCCTAAGCTAGTTTGGTTCAAGTAACTTGTCATTTATTTCTCCAAAAATTTTGGCAGTTCCTCGTCCCAAAATTTGGCATTTTCCAATCATTTAAACAAGTCCTCAAATTTTGGCACTCTTTATATTTTGAATAATTTTTCTCATCTCATGGGATGTTCTAAGCATAGGAAATAAATGGTAACTAGCTAAGTTTCCGAATGTTGTCCTATGAATTCTCACTGAAACACCAAGTATACTAACATCATAAAATATTAAAATGGTACATAAATTTCACCCACATGTAGTGTGTGTGTATATATATATATATATTTTGGTAGTTTATATGATGAAGGATTTTTACGGGGTTACAAAGATCATATCTATTTTATCAAATCAAAATAATTTTTGCAATCTTTCTTAAACTTAAAACTCATAAGAGCTTGTACATTTTTTTCGAGCCAACTGTTTACGTACTATTGGCTTTCCTTTAACATATTTTGCAAAATCGACATCGACCACATGAGAGTCTTGGTAATATGTTCCAACCATGGTACTCTTTCGAAGTGATTTTTCTTATAAAATTGCTTCGGATCATGATGTTCTTTTCATCTATTTATAAAGGTCTTAAAATGTCATGCTTTCAAATTTCTTTTTGAGCTCAAAATCCAATCCATCATGTACAAAACGTAAAAACTCGGTTTCAAGTAAATTGACTTGGCATTAAACTTTACCTTTTCTTAACCTTGAAAGAAACTATTTTATAGATTCTCCATAAAACTATCTCATTCTTGTTAAATCTACCACCGAAATCCTAGGATCCGTTCTTAAAAGTTATGCTTGAAATGCATTCCGCATATTCCACCAAGTAAAGATAGAATTTGATAACAAATTGATATACCAAGTGAATTCTACGGTAGTTAAAGAACTAAGGATAAGTTGAAGTTTTAGAAAATCATCTCTTGATAATTCTTCGTATTAAAAGGTAAATCGGCAACATGTTTCGGAGAAGAAACATTATCCTTGTCGAGAAAAAAGGTGAATTCGGGAGCTCAAAATCCTCTTGGAAAAGGATATTCCCTATCAATATAATCCGAATATGGCTTTCAATAAATAGGATGATTAACCATGTGCATTCGAGGTCCATAAATCCTTTTCATCATATTAGCCAAGACTTCTGATTCATTTCTCCATGTGTATTTCCAAGAATGGGATATGGTGTCGAACTATTTCCTCTAGCTACAACCATAGTTAGGGCATTCTATGGTGAAAAACTACTTGTTGCTCTTGAGGGTATGTTTAGAGGAGGGCTATAATGTTATGTTGATATAACCACAAAGGTGCCCAAGATGAATAACAATTAGTTTGTCCATAATAAGCATGTCTATTAATATTCTATGGTACATTATGACCATTTTTACTATTGAATGGTCTATTAGGAACATAAAGAGGGTAACTAAAAAAATTCTTATCGACTCGATTGTTGATGGTCTTACTTCTCTATTGATATCAAAAAAAATTTCTTCGACAAGCTCTTTCCCTTTTCCTTTTGCCAAAACCATAAGCCCTCGAGCATCCTCTCTCATTATTCGAGTAACATCCACAATTGTCTTAAACTTTTGTTTGATGGCAATCTCTACTTACTTGGCAACTTGTCTCGTGAATGAAATACTAGTTTCATTAAACGATGGATTTACACCTATAATCACCCCATCACCATGTAACGCATACATTTTGATAGTTCAATAGTATGGTTATTAATAATTTCACTATTTTTCCGTGATGAATCGGCTATGAAAGCTTTTATTTTATTGATATCCTCCTCGAGTTGGCTCAACATCAACTATATTTGTCGATTTATCCGACCGTCGAGGTTCAAAGATGGGTCATGTATTCATTTTATCAATTTCTTAGTTTGATCCGACAACATCTATTGAAATTTAGCAACTTGTTCTTCCGATTTTTGTTCCCTAATGTCATGGCTTCGTTTATGAAACCATCACTTCTTTATGAACTCACATGTTCTCGACTTTTAACATCAAACCTATTTTGACTATCGAGTTGCCTTTTGTCGATTACATTTTTAAGTTACGCCTCATTATCGTACCCGGTTTCTCCGCGATTGTGGTTTTCCATAGTTTCTATTAGAGGTTCACCTTAAAAAATTTGGACCATATTTTTGATAGAAATTGATAGTGTTTCATCAATTTGGTCTTCTTCGGAGAATTGACATCTCATCATACTTCTAGTAGTACCACATTTTGCAATTACTCTCGATTGTGGTCATCAAAACTTATTACTTGCTCATCAAATTTGGCCTCGAAGCGGAGTAGGTTGATGCTTTAATTTATGACCAAGAACGTTGCAATGAAATGGTATAGGGTTCGGTTTCGCCTAGCAAGCCACTAAAACTTTCGTGGGTACTCAATTTAAAGAAAAAATGAAATAAAAAGAAAATATTATTAATTAGAAGAAATAACACTCAAGCGATAAAGAGAAATTCATCAATCGAAAAAGAAAAAACTCATTAGGAAAGCGTAAATATTATAAATCAAAAGATATGACACTTACATCAATAACCATCGAAATATTCTAAGCCATTTAACCACAATTGGAGAGGAATAAACACCTTCTAGATTACTATAGGAAAACTACCGAAAAACGAGTAAATGTGATCTACCGAAAGCGGGAAGGAAAGCAAGTAAAGGCTATTGAACTACTTGTAAGAATGTAAAGGCTAATTGTTACAAAGTAAACTAGAAAACTTGGATAAATTTGTGCTGAAAAAATGTTATATGTTGATTGTGATCCCTTTCTTTGTCAATTTCTCTTCTTTAAATAGTTTCTACCCACAATCCATAATTGTCTTAGATTTGAAACCGAACGCAAACGATTATTGGTAACTCGCTCGTGTTGCTACTCATCGAATATGGATGCTTATAAAACCAACTCGCACTATCTCATTTAAATCTTGTCATTTCATCGAGCTTAGCTGATTATAATACCAAACACATTGTTTTTTTTGAGTCTTAATGTTTCATCGAGCTTGATTGGTTACAAGACCAAATGTACTCGTTTCATTTAAATCTTGCTGTTTTGTGGAGTTTGGTTGGTTGTAAGACCAAACGTATCGTTTCATTTAAGTTTCATTATATCATTGTGAAAGGATATCATACCTAAGTCACACGTGGCTTCTTTTTGAAAAAAATTTAGGTGCTAATAGTAACATATTCCAATACATTTGGCTAAAGATGTATCTATTATTGGTTTTGCTTGAGCTCGAAAGTCATAACCAGTTGTTGGAGTAACAAAAAATGAGAGTTCCCTACTATCTTCCCATATATATTGGTAATATATTCCTATACCTATTGGAATGATGTTGGAAAATATATCAAGAATATATACTTGTCTCTTTATATGAAGAAAGCTGCAGCTATCGCCTCGCGCGCCAAGCAAATCTAGAATCTCATCATCTAGCTCAGTATTGCACAGAAACACAAAGGATTGATTTCTTTTTCTATTGTGATTGTTGCTCATGGATGTACTTTCTTTAAAAGATATGAATTAATTGTATGCGTATGGATCATATTAACTATATTTTGTTACTCAATCTCTAACTACTTTGTAGCATACAGTGAAGAATTTCACCGTAGAACATGACTTTTTGTCCTGTTTTCCCTTGCTTTTACAAACTGATAACAGATGAAGGACGACTATCATTTTCATACCCTACCATTTATTCCAAAACAACACAGCAATGACACTTGCTTTTTTTTTTTTTCCCTTTTTTCGTTTTTTCACCCTCTCCTTTTCTCTGGTGAGTGTTGACTTGCTACATCATTTTGACTCATGCCTCTTGCTTGCAAGATCTGCTGGTTTGATTTCACAAATTCACATAGAAATGGTGAACAAAAAGTATATGATTGATTGGAGCAATTTACCCCAGGAATGTGATTAGTTTGATACGCATGAGCCTGCGTAACCCAAAAATGAAACATCATGATAAATTATTCCACCAAAAAGTCACCGTCATTAGTCTTTTCTTAAAAGAGTAATATTCCAACCAAAAAAAAAAAAAAGACTCTCCGTTTATTTTCCTCTTCACGATCTTTTGTTCCAGTTAGCTCTTCTTTATCTCATCCAAAATTCTTTTTCTTTTTCATCTCCTGGAAGTGGCCAATTTCAAGAGAAAAGAGAGCCAAATACAAATTATGGGTAGCTTAGAGAGGCAGATGGAAATGCTTAGCATAGATGAAGAAGAGAAATGGATAAAGCATTATAGCAGTTCTCATAAAATACTACTAGTTGGAGAAGGTGATTTTTCTTTTGCTGCTTGCTTGGGCAAAACCTTTGGCTCTGCTGTCAATATGGTTGCAACTTCTCTGGACTCAAAAGGTACATATAACAGTCAGATGCGCTAGCTATTTTCTTAATCTGGAGTCCAATTGATTTCTTTTTTTCTTTTTTTTCTTTTTTTATGTTATTTAACTTAATCTTAAATGTTCCATTGCTTTGAAATTGTTGGATATGCATCTGATTTGTAATGTTTTGACCATGCAAATAAAAGTCTCTCTCGTGGCCAAGTATTCAAGAGCTGAAGAAAATTTGAAAAAGCTGAAGGACTTTGGATGCACAATTCTGCATGAAGTAGATGCACATACAATGAGCTGCCATCCTCTTCTCCATGGGCAATTGTTTGACAGGATAGTCTTCAACTTTCCTCATGCCGGTTTCCATTTTCGTGAACATGACAGCTTGCAAATTGAGTAAGCAAGCTAGGTTATATTTTTAGCTTGTCCCCATTGGGAGTTGCCCTATCAGCTTTTTGCTTTGACCTTAGACTTAGCAATGCCTATCAATATTAAGGAAAAAGCTACCAAACACTTGCGGGTGCTTGATATTGTTAACTAGGCTAATTAAATATCCTGTCCTAACACATGATCATGTCAAAAGTGGGATTCACCGTTGCATGTATTGTGTACATAAACTTCCTAACCTTTTGGATATATCCAATACTCATGAGAATTGAAAGCGCATTAGTGTCATTAATGATGCATTTGTACAACTTTCAGGTTGCACCGAAATTTAGTGAAAGGCTTCCTGCGGAATGCACGTTATATGCTGGCGGAGAATGGAGAAGCTCACGTGACCCACAAGACTGCCCATCCATTTGATAGGTGGGAGATTGAGAAGCTAGCAGAGGATGTTGGTATGTACTTGATTGAAAAGTCCCCTTTCTTTTCATGGGACTATCTAGGATACAGTAATAAGAGAGGAGATGGGGTCAGCGCGGATGATAGTTTTCCTGTTGGAGCTTGCAGTACTTTTAAATTTGGTAGGATTTACCTTAGGAGAACGAGAGCCATGGTTTTTGACACTCTTGTCCTGTTTTCTGGTTTTGGTGGTTAGTTACTCTCACACCTCAGTTTAGAACGTCCTTGTGTACGTATATGTACATGTTTAGATCTTATATATATATGTGTGTACAAGTAATAATTATGTTTCATGTATAAATAAAATATATATTTCAAGTAAAATTAAGCCTACCCACCATCCAAAACCACTTAGACTACCTTAGATACAACCCAAAAATACCTTAAAATCACTTGAAGAAGAACAACAATTATTTTCATCAAATTCCTACACTTGGTTGAACCTTCCTCATCCATTATCCAATCTTAATTCATCAAACCAACTTCAATTAAGCCATTACATATGATCATTCACCATCACAAATATGTTTTCAATCATAATTTAATTGGTAAGGAATAATTGAGTTTAATGGATTAATTTTAATTGATTCAATTCATTTAATTGGAATAGATGTTTTCTAAACTTATAATGAATCCCAAAAGATTAATCCATGATTTAGCTTTCAAAAGGCTAAATTAAGTTTTAATGGAGTAAATTAGCCGGTTTTCTGATTTAAAGGATTAATTTTTATTAAACTGAAGTAATAGTAGTTTTAAATGAGGAACTAATTTAATTGATGATTAAATAAGTGAAGGCAAATTGACTATGTTCTAATAAAGTGGATTATTTTGCAAATAATTTGGATTTTAAGGAAAATTAATAGAAATTAAATATAATTGAATTAGATTAGATTGACAAGCATTGCACGCATGAATTGTAAATGGGGCCAGAAAACCAGGCGACATTATTCAGACTCTATACCCTGGAAGGTATAAAAACCTTTGAAAATTAGAACTCATGCATACATTAATTACTCTTATGGATCACAAATAAATCAATAATATTCATCCAAGGGTGAGAACAGATGCCTGATCATATCTCTTAACTAGCTAGTACTTTGCATATATTCATGCTAGAAGGAAGTTAATTACAGGTCTCAAACTTGGCCATTGTCGAGGGAAGGTCAAATGGAAATGGATAGTTCGGAAACAGTCGTCAGATCGAGTAAGTTTAGCTAGAACTACGTACTAATTGACCTTAATAAGGTCATTCAAGGTTTTCCTTTGGGTTCTTAAAGTATAAGGTTAAGGCAATGTGCCTGTAGCTCTACTAGCATCTACATTATATCTTTTCTGAAAGATCTCTAGTTCGAAACTCTTTCTAATAATAATTAAAAAAAAAAAAATGGCAAGAACTGGACAACTTTCTTCTCCTGTAACTATATAACAAGGCACATTGGCAAGTTTTTTTACTTTGCAATAAGTTTAAGTGTTATTGATATATATGCATCTATTTGAGGAGTTCTCAATGGTTGGCGAAGGGATTCCTGGTTAGTGCATGTGGCATGTTGGAGGAGAGGAGAATAAAGGAATTCATGTGACCCACAAGAGTACTAGAGATCCATATAACAAGTGGGAAATTGAGAAATTTGGGGAGGATGCTGGGCTGATTTTGCATCCCATGTGCCTGTAAACCTCTTTCTCTAAGGTGGCCCTTTTGCCTTCTTGGTGTTTTATTCCATCCACACTAGGCTTAAGTTTCCTTTTAGAATTACTTCGTCCAAAGGAATTTGACATTTCTGCTTGGTCTCGATCTGTCTAGGGAGGTAGAATATGCGTTGCTTAAGGTAGAAACTGATACCCAAGTTGTTGGGTTTGATAAAAAAAGAGAGTCCCCTGCCATCTTTTATGCATGTTGGCCTGATACGATCATTGATAGTATTAGAGAATAATAGTACAGTCACTAACTCTCTCTTACACTCCAGAGCTTTTGTTTGTTTGAACCGGAGAGCTTGCTTTCATGGATACTTTTCTTTTGATTTCCCTTTCCTTTTATCTGAAGTCTCTTTCTATTTGTACTTGCACCATTTATTGAAGAACAAGAAGGCAGCCCACTTGTATCTTTTCTTTTTTTCTTTTTTCTTTTCTTTTGTTTTGTGAGGGTAGCTGCTACTATTCAACTCTCACGGCTCATCCTATGATCTTATCCTATGGTGTTATGTACTGATTTGATTTCATGAATGAGTAAATTAATCCTTCAGTTTTCAAAAACTTACAATTATCTTTTCCCCTTTAATTATTCGTTTACGACTTTGTCTGTTTATAATGTACTGTTGCGGTGCTGAGCTATCAAATAATCAAAAATACAATTTGTAGTGCTGAAATGATTCATTAATTGTGTGACACTTCAGCACCACTCTAACGGTGCAATACCAAAAGGACTAAATCATAAACGGAGCATAAAGTGGAGGATACAACTGTACGTTTTTGAATACCTGAGGACTAAGTTACTATTGAAATATCGAGATGTACGTAAATCCATGAGAAAATTTATCCCTCGTAGTCATAGCCCTTCTTTTATCATCATAAGTATAGGTTCCAACCAGAAAGCATAGACTCTCCATTAATTTATTTTTCATCCCTTGTTGCTGTTCTCTGTCTATTCGTCTCATCTCAAAAATTTTTCTTTAAGAGATATGGATATTTTAGAGAGCCAAATGGAAACACTTAGTATATATAATAAAGAAGAGAGATGGATAAAACATTACAGCAGTTCTCAAAAAATACTACTGGTAGGAGAAGGTGATTTTTCATTTGCTGCTTGCTTGGCCAAAGCCTTTGGTTCTGCAGCAAACATGGTAGCCACTTCTCTCTACTCCAAAGGTAATATTTACTAGTGTACGTCTATATGGTCTATGATATTTTGGAATTGGTTTCTGATAAATACTGATACAAGCACATAAAAGAGATGATGATGCTGAAGTATTCAGAAGCTGCAACAAACTTCAGAGAGCTGGAGGATCTTGGATGTACCATAATGCGTGAAGTAGATGCACGTAGTATGAGCGAGCATCCTCTTCTTAGTCAGATCTTGTTCGACCGGATAGTCTTCAATTTTCCGGCTACAGCTCTCGAAAGGAGTGAATCAAATATTCGCCAAATCGAGTAAGTTCAGCTAAGACGACTAATGCTACATTTCTCCTTACGCCATTTGACGTTTTTTGTTCTTAAGGTGTAGATGGCAGGATTTGAAATTTGAGAACTCTCTTCTGCCTGATCATAACGTATACTATTTCAACTGCTAGATAGGTTAAATGCAATCACAGCAAGTCTTTTTAGATTTAACTGTAAACAGGAAGTCCTAATAACATGTACTCCTATTTAAGAGCTAATAATAACATGTAGACCTATTTCTTTCCTTAGGAAACATCGAAGGTTGATGAAGGGCTTCCTAGGGAGTGCCCATGACATGTTAGAAGAGAATGGAGAAATTCATGTGACTCACAAGACCACAGAGCCATACAGTAAGTGGGAGATTGAGAAATTAGCAGAGGATGTTGGGCTGTGCTTGGTTGAGAAAGTTAGGTTCAGAAGATCTGAATATCCAGGATACAGTAATAAAAGAGGATCTGGAGCTAGGGCTGATGAGACTTTCCCTGCTGGAAACTGTTGCACCTTCAAATTTGGCAGGACTACCTGATATATATAGAGCAATTCCTTCGTAAATCAACCCTCTCAATTTGGGGGTTCAATTTCCAATTCTTTAGCTTTTTTCTTTGGCATTAATGGATCCCAATCCATCATAACAGTTACTGAAACTCGAATTCTTGCCGTCCCCCCTGCTGTGCAGATAAGTCAAGACCGACACTTCTGTGGCAATGACTGTAATTGTATTATTTTGAATTTGTGAGAGATTTCTAACAGCATGTATGCCATGATGGCTGAAATCCAATACTCTCGTCAAAACATGCCTGCATGATATGCTCCTATAAGTGTAACTACATTGTAACTACTCCAGAACAAGGTGATCCTACTATTTTCTTGTACTTTTGCTTTAACAGCTATGCAATTCTGGACAGTCAGCATATATATTTCAGATTTCTATGGGACAAAACCCTTCTCAAATTTTATTATATTATCAAGCATTGGATTCATGATAGTTATTGAAAGTTTGCAACATAACTGTTAGAAAAAATAAAAAAAATTGGGTTGGGTTGCTCATGACAGGTCGATCCGATAAAAAAAATAATAACTATCAAAACAATTACAAGGGAAACATTGTTTCCCTTTGAACTCCTATATATATATATATATATATATATATATATATATATATATGTCTTTGGAAACAGAGAGATAATAAAAAAAGATAAGGAAATAAAAAATGAGAGAAAACAAACAGAATCAAAAGAATTTCTGCAGATAGAATACTAAAGCAAGTAGGATTGTCTTGACACTTGAATTGTAAAAATAAAGACAGTGATTTAATATTACTTGTTTTGATATAATGAAACTATTTACAGATAAGTGTTTCGATCCTTATTATTTTTATTATTGAAGTATTTATCATGATCTTCATTAGCATCAGAATCTGTTTTAATAGTTTTTATGATTATCCATAAAATGTTATTTATATGTCAATGTTATGATATTTATTGTTACATAATAATTCTTATTGAATTATCCAGTATTCTGATATTTATTGTTAATATATTAGTATTTTGATATTTTGTTATTATCTGTATGATATTCATCTAAATCCATGTAAAAAATAAAAAAAATTACATGTTAGTAAGATACATGGCACAATTGAACAAGACAAAGAACTATTCATTATTTTTGGCCTAATTAAAAATGTCAAAAGTGGGCCTTGAACCCAAGTCCGTTTGGACGTGAATACTTAATTTGATGTCTTAGAACACTCTGCCATGCTATCTTATTGAAACATGTTGCAGCAAGAAAATATATGACTATTTTAAAACAGATAAGTAAATTTATGAATAGATTGTTGAGAGTGAGATTCGAACCACGCTGTATGGGATTACGTGCTTAATCTGTCACCTCAAACCAACTCAGCCAATGCGTCATGTTGGTTCGAAGTTGTTGATACATTAATATTATTCTTAACTATTTCGTCAACTGTTGATGATATATTAATTTTTTTTATTTTTTATTTTTTTTGTATAATTTCATGAACTATTTATGTATAATAATTTAAGTATGTGTTTATATATTTTTATTTTCATTTGGAATTTATATATATGAACATATGCTATTTATGAAGCATTATATTTTTTGTTCATATTTGTTTTGCTTCATAAATGTTTAGTGAAAATTATGAGATAAATTCAAATGGTGTAACTTTTTTAAATTAAGTTATTAAAATCAAACATTTGAGTATGGATGATGATAGGGAACATAATGAACTATTGATTCTATATCTTATGGTAGATTTTAATAGTTAATTTGAGAAATTAGTGAAACATACATAAATATTGATATTGCATGTAATGTCTCTTTACATTAATTGATTGTCAAAATGGCAACAAAGAAAGTCATTGCTAACTTGAATAAGGGCGAAAAGCTTGATGGGCATGTTAAGATACAATATGTCTTAGAAGAGCAAAAGGCTTTGGAGGCTATTAATCATGAGATGATTGAGCTTCGATCGATCATGGGAACAACCTTGCCTAGTATTGTTGAGATATCGTAGCATATTGAGCCCGGAAGAAGGTAGATTCCATTGCAAAGGGAATCCTAATCGGTTCTATGAAAGATGATCGGGTTTTCAAGTACCAAAATTATCCAACTCGCTTATGCCATCTAGGTAAGATCGAGGAAAAAGTTTGGAGGGACCATTGTCTCCAAACTAAGGCGATTGACAATCAAGTTTGACACTTATAAGAAGATTCCAAACAAATCTATGAAACGAGCACCTCGGGGATATGTCGAACATGATTGCGGAACTAAAGCAAGTGAGGTATGTCTTGACGGATGAATAACAAGTACGAGTTGTTATCCGATCTCTTCACGATAGGCGGGAACATACGAAAGTGAACATGACTCACAATGAGAATATTAGGACATTTGCCGACGATGGTTGCCATATTGAGCTAGAACATGAGCGCCTTGAGGCGACGAAAGCCAAATGCACTAGCATATGTGGTCGAGTCTAGATTTAAGAAAACTTCGGGTTTTAAGCGTAAGTGGCGCGACAATAAGAAAGAGAAAGAGACTCGGATAGGGACCAAAGAAGAGAACCAAGTTTTTTAAACGCAAGAGAGGAAAGCACAATGAAAAGAAAGATAAGACCAAAATGACCTGCTACAATCTGTGGCAAGTCGGGTCATTTCGCTCGTGAGTGTAATGGGCCAAAGGAGGTACTTGTCTTTAAACATCTATTCTACTAATGGTTATGTTTCTAGTACTATAATACTTGCTGAATCCCATCTTTTATGGATCGTAGATTCAAGATCCACCCACCATATAGCTAGAGATAGAGATGCATTTGTGGAATTTCATCCGATTTCAAGTGGGACGCGATGGATATATGTGGGTAATAACACAAGGGTTGAAATGCTTGGACTTGGTACTCGTAATTTGAATTTTCAAAAAGGAAAGACCCTATATTTACATGATGTGCTTTACGCTCTAGAAAATCGATGAAATTTGGTCTCTGTAGTTGTTCTATTAAGACTAGGATATGATTTGCACTTTTATGGTAATATTTTAAATATATTTACCGATTCTGTTTATTTAGGATCCGGTTATATCATGGATGATTTTATAATAATGTACAACAAATATTATAATATGAATAATAATGTATGCTTTTCTATGCTAACTAGTTCTAGCAATGATAATATAGATATTAATCTATGGCATGCTAGACTAAGGCATATAGGGCAAGATAGAATGAAAAGATTGGCTCGAGATGGTCTTCAGGATCTATCACGAGAATTGACTTGCCCACTTTTGAATATTGTCTACAAGGAAAAGCAACTAGAAAACCATTCGATAAAGCCAAGAGGGCGGCATTTCCTTTACAATTAATACGATCGGACATTTATGGTCCTATGAATGTTAAAGCCAAACATGGGGCATCCTATTTCTTTATATAGATGATTTCATTCAATTTGGTCATGTCTTTTTGACCCCCACAAATCGAAGCAATAGATTGCTTCATTAAATACATCAACGAGTTAAGAACCAATTAGACAAAAGAATTAAAACTTTGAAGACCGATAGAGGTCGTGAGTATCTATCAAATCAATTTAAGAATCTTTGTAATGAGAAACAAATAACTAGGCAACTTACGATTCCTAGAACACCACAACAAAATGGTGTAGCAAAGAGTAGGAATCGTACATTGTTAGACATGGTTAGATCTATGATGGCACATACAAATCTCCTAATTCAGTTTTGGGAAGATGCACTAATGATTGCAGTCTATATACTTAATTGTGTGCCTTCAAAATTAGTAGCCTCTACACCCTATGAGTTATGGACGTGCCATAAACCAATTTGCATCATTTGCATCCATGGGGATTTGTCACATATATTCATAATAATTTTAATAAGTATGGCAAATTAAGGCCCAAAGGAAAGAAATTTATCTTTATAAGATACTTTGAATACTCAAATGGATATGTTATCATTGGTGAGGACTTTTATGGACGAACCACTCGAAATAGAATCTCGAGATGTCACTTTTTTAGAATATCTTTTCCCTAGAATGAATGAGAAAAATAAAAATGATCTTCATTTTTTTGAGATAGAAGAAGAGGATAATATGCCTAAAAGTTGATCGAAGTCGAAACTAAACTAGATGTGCAACACTCTATTCTTGCTAGTGGGAGTTTTGAAAGCACAACACCACTATCTCAATTGAGTGGGAGGAATAAGGATGATCCAATTTCAATTGGTGTTAGTAACGATCCTTATTTACGTAAGAGCAATCGATTGAGAATTCCTCGAAAATGATTTGAAATTGAGAATGAAGCCTACATTGTAACCCCACAAGATGATGAAGAACCTAGAACAGTGCAAAGAGGCACTAACATGTCCTACTAAAGAGAAATGGAAAGTTGCAATAGAAGAGGAAATGGAATCCATGAAACTAAACCAGGTGTGGAGTTTGGTTAATCTTCCGTCGAGTCGTAAAGCTATTGGGAATAAATGGATTCTCAAAATTAAACGAAAGGTAGATGGATCAATTGAATGATATAAAGCTTGTCTTATGGCTAAAGGTTTTACCCAAAAAGAGGGTATAGACTACGAGGAAACCTTTTTCCCTATTGTTAGTTTACCTTGATAAGTTTAATTTTAGTCATTGTTGCACATTTAGATTTAGAATTGCATCAAATGGATGTAAAAATAGCTTTCCTTAATGGAGAGTTAGAGGAAGAAATCTATATGGAACGACCTATAGGTTTCATTGTTGAAAGCCAAGAGCATAAAGTTTGCAAGGTCCAAAGATCTATCTATGGTCCGAAACAAGCATCCGAGACAATGGTACCTTTTTTTTCATAAGGCAATAATGACTTATGATTTTAAGATGATTAATGAAGACCATTGTGTTTATATTAAAAGAAATGAAGAGAAGTTCGTAATTCTATCTCTATATGTTGATGATGTTTTGATAGCCGGGAATGACAAAGATTTTATCATGCCTATCAAAGCATGGTTATCCATAAATTTTGACATGAAGGACAAGGGTGAAGCAAACTACATTTTGGGAGTCAAGATCATTAGAGATCATTCGAAAAATTTTCTAGCTCGTCACAACAACATTATATCCGGAAAATTCTAGAATGTTTCCATATGAGTAATTGTAAGTCTATGGACACCCTTGTGTCAAAAGACGAGTCTTTAAGTAGTACAATGTGTCCCGAAACTTCAAAAGATAAAAAGGAGATGTCTAAAGTGTCATATTCAAGTGTAGTTGGAAGCCTTATGTATGTAATGATGTGTACTCATCCGGATATATGTTTTGTCGTTGGTTTGGTTAGTCGATTTCGATCAAATCCCGGTCGAAAGCATTGGAAGGTCATTAAAAGAATCTTGAGATATCTCAAGGGTACTATGGATTATTGTCTATGTTACTAAGGGAGAAATTTACATTTGAATGGGTACTCGGATGCTGATTGGGGAGGAGACCCTAATAAAAGAAAATCCACTTTTGGCTATGCTTTTCTATTCAACAATGGCGTTATCTCTTGAAGAAGCAAGAAACATACCTGCATAGCCTTATCTACTATGGAGGCTGAATTTATAGCATGTTCAACTCGCTGTGCAAGAAGCAGTTTGGTTAAGGAGATTCCTTGAGGATTTGAAAGTTAATAGTAAAAGCTTGAGACCTATTATTGTCTATTGTGACAACCGTGCAACTATTGCTTATACCAAGGACCTCAAATACCATAGTAGAACCAAACATATTGACACTAAGTATAACTACATTCGAGACATCATAGGAAAAAAAGATGTGTTAGTACAATTTATATCTACGCATCAAATGATAGTAGATCCTCTCACAAAACCCATACCAAGAGATATGTATCTTAGACATGTTAAATCTCTTGGAATGCGTAGATTCTAACTTTGTCATGATAATGAACAATTGAGCTTGTATATTGTGCTATTTTATTATGAATGCAATGTGATATATATTTATATGTTATGTATGTTACTTTTGTAAAGCTCAATTTTTTTTAAGTCACACGAGTTTATATTGGCTCTCTCACACGAGCAATCTCCTCTAGCGTTAATGAAAATGAGTAGAGATGAGACAATTCTCCTCTAGCGCTATTAAGAGCGAGTAGAGTGGAGATAAAATTAAGAAAGTGTCATCTTAATTATAAAATTAAGATGAGATTGTAAATCAATATACATTATTTTTACGAGTTGATTTGGAAAGCCCAATCCAAATAACATGTGAAAGCTAGATTTGAGATCTCGGTGATTAAAACCTACCGAGAGAAAACACCATGAAAACTCGGGTTAGTCACTTGTATCCAACGATTGAACTAAGATCCGTACAGATGTGCATAAGATATGATGATCGGGAACACTATAGCACGTGATTCATACCATGTGTGCTGATACGACCTTAAAAGATAGTGGGAGAATGAATCCTTGCTTCTCCACTGTGTGAGATCTTTAAAGGAATAATAATATCCTCTAGATAATACCCTTATTACTTTTTATTGCTATTCGAGATCTAGGCTTGGTGTTTGCTATCTTAGCTAGCTACTTATGATCATGTGTGATTCGATCTACGGAACTTGTCTAGAAAAGTAGTTAAGCTCTAAATTAAGAATTTCGAGTAAGAAAGGAATATGTGCTTGGTATATTCATAGGCCGACCAATTGTGTCGCTTAAAAGAAGATTGCTTGGGAATAATGTGGACATGATTATGGATATACAATATGATATCGAATTAATACAGATTGAAGGATTTGATATAATGAGATATTCATACAAGGAACCATATAGGGTATTATGAGATTTACGATATATTATATCTCGTATATTGTTCATTAATCTAAGGTAGTAGCTATTATGTTATTTCTAACGGATGCATAATAATGAGCTCCCAAAATGCGAAATGTTCACTAGGTCGCACGATCCATTTGTTTGTATAAAAATATACCTTCTTGTTTTACTATCGATATTGCAGAGAGCCTAGCGTTGGGTCTAACCCATCATGTGAGTGGGAGATGTTAGAAAAAATACAAGAATTTGGGTCGGGTTGCCCATGACGGTTCGATCCGATAAGAAAATAATAACTCGTCAAAACGAGTTAAAGACAATGATTTAATCTTACTCGTCAAACATTGTTTCCCTTAGAACTTATATATATATATATAAAAGAAGAGAAAATAGATAAAATGAAAAGACTCTCTGCAGATAGAATACTAAAGCAAGTAGGATTGTCTTGGCACTTGAATTGTGGAAATAAAGACAGTGATTTAATATTACTATCTTGATCTAGTGAAACTATTTACGGATAAGTGTTTCGATCCTAATTATTTTTATTATTGAAGTATTTATCATCATCTTCAATAACAATCAAGTTGATTGAAAATTAGAAATGACATTGAAGTTTTGTTATCTCATGAAATTAAGTTGACTCCCCCACGGCAATGCACGGGTAGTATCCTCTTCTCAATCAGAAATTGTTTGACAGAATAGTCTATAATTTTCCTTATACAGCCCTCAAAAGGAGTGAAGCGAACATTCGCCAAATCGAGTAAAGTTCAGCTAGAACTACTAATTTCCCTTAACTAGGTCTTTTTTTTTTTTTTCCTTAAAGTAGAAGGGTAAGAATAAAGCAAGAGACGTGTCCTCTCTCTCTCTCTGTTTTATTTTATTTTATTATGATGCTATACAAGAGGTGAATGAGGACCTATCTTGGGTTTTTGGAAGAGAATCCATGCATAGTAGTCCACAAAATTTGAATTTTATTGGCTATCCAAGGACCTCCCTGTATTGCCCAGTATGATTAAATGCTGATAATAGTCGAGAAAGTTCGGTTCAGAAAATCTGACTATCCTGGTTATGAAAATAAAACAGGATCTGGACCTTTTGCTGATGAGACTTTCCTGCCAGAAACTGTTGTTCCTTCAAAACTGCCAGGATTACAAAACAAACTGCTTGACATACAGAGCATGCAGTGAAGGCCTGAATATATTTCGAGCAGGATTGATTGATGCAGGATTGATTGATCAGACCCTCTCGTCCTCGTTGATTAAAATTTTGACGTGATCAGTCAGTCGAAAATTAGTCCATTGACAGCCTGAGCTTTAGCGAAGGAGGAGCAAGGTTCAAGTTCAAATCCTGTTTTTTGTCCTCCTGAAAAAACTCTGCGCTGTCGTGTGCAGTCAAGGATGATATGTGTTATCAGATGGATGTTTCTGTGAACAGTATTCCATCCAAGTGTATAGAAAATTTCTATAATCTTTATATTAGATTGCTTAGCTCAAGGTTAATCTTGAGGTCCAATATTCTGACCTTCTTCCCTGCTGCTTTGATATGTCATTCTGTATATTGGTAATATATTCCAATACATTTGGCTAAAGATGCATCTATTACTGGTTTTATTTGAGCTAGAAAGTCATAACCAGTTGTTGGAGTAACAGAAAATGAGAGGCCCCTACTATCTTACCAAATATATTGGTAATTTATTCCTATACATATTGGCATGATACTGCAAAATATATCAAGGAAACTTGTCTCTTTACATGAAGAAAGCGCAGCTATTTCCTCGCCAAGCAAATCTAGAATCTCATCATGTAGCTCAATATGGCATAGAAACACAAAGGATTGATTTCTTTTTCTATTGTGATTGTAGCTCATGGATGTACTTTCTTTCAAAGATATGAATTAATTGTATGCTTAAGGAACATATAAGCTATATTTTGTTACTCAATTTCTAACTATTTTATAGCTTACAGTGAAGAATTTCACTGTAGAACATGGCTTTTTCTCCTGTTTTCCCTTTGCTTTTATCTGCGCAAAATGATAACAGATGAAGGACGACTATCATTTGCATACCCTACCATTAATTCCAAAACAACACAGCAAAGACGCTTGCTTCTTCTTTTTTTCCCCTTTTTCTTTTTTGACCCTCTCCTTTTCACTGGTGAGTGGTGACTTTCTACATTATTTTTGACTCATGCCTCTTGCTAGCATGATCTGCTGGTTTGATTTCATAACTTCACATAGAAATGATGAACAAAAACTGTACGATTGATTGCTGCAGTTTACACCTGCAGGAATGTGATTGGTTTAGTACACATGAACCTGCCTAACCCACAAATGAAACATTATGATATATTTCTTCCACCAAAAAGTCACCCTCATTAGTCTTTTCTGAAAGAGTAATATTCCAACCAAAAAAGAAAAGACTCTCCCTTTACTTTCCTCTTCATGATTTCTTGTTCCTGTTAGCTCTTCTTTATCTCTTCTAAAATTCTTTTCCTTCATCACCTCCTGGAAGTGGCCAATTTCGAGAGAAAAGAGAGCCAAATACAAATTATGGGTAGCTTAGAGAGCCTGATGAAAATGCTTAGTATAGATGAAGAAGAGAAATGGATAAAGCATTATAGCAGTTCTCATAAGATACTACTAGTTGGAGAAGGTGATTTTTCTTTTGCTGCTTGCTTGGGCCAAAACTTTGGCTCTGCTGTCAATATGGTTGCAACTTCTCTGGACACAAAAGGTAAATATAACAGTCAGATGCGCTAGCTATAATCTTGCAATATTACAAGTTAATCTAGAGTGCAATTGAATTCTTTTTATTTTTTTTTATTTTTTTTTAATGTTATTTAACTGAATCTTAAATGTTCCATTGCTTTGAAATTGTTGGATATGCATCTGATTTGTAATGTTTTGACCATGCAAATAAAAGTCTCTCTCGTGGCCAAGTATTCAAGAGCTGCAGAAAATTTGAAAAAGCTGAAGGATTTTGGATGCACAATTCTGCATGAAGTAGATGCACATACAATGAGCTGCCATCCTCTTCTCCATTGGCAATTGTTTGACAGGATAGTCTTCAACTTTCCTCATGCCGGTTTCCATTACCGTGAACATGACAGCTTGCAAATTGAGTAAGCAAGCTAGGTTACATTTTTAGCTTGTCCCCATTGGGGGTTGCCCTATCGGCTTTCTGCTTTGGCCTTAGACTTAGCAATGCCTATCAATATTAAGGAAAAAGCTACCAAACACTTGCGGGTGATTGATATTGTCAACTAGGCTAATTAAATATCCTGTGCTAAAACATGATCATGTCAAAAGTGGGATTCACCGTTGCATGTATTGTCTACATACACTGCTAACCTTTTGGATATCCAATACTCATGAGAATTGATAGCGCATTAGTGTCATTAATGATGCATTTGTACAACTTTCAGGTTGCACCGAAATTTAGTGAAAGGCTTCCTACGGAATGCACGTTATATGCTGGCGGAGAATGGAGAAGCTCACGTGACCCACAAGACTGCCCATCCATTTGATAGGTGGGAGATTGAGAAGCTAGCAGAGGATGTTGGTATGTACTTGATTGAAAAGTCCCCTTTCTTTTCATGGGACTATCTAGGATACAGTAATAAGAGAGGGGATGGGATCAGGGCGGATGATAGTTTTCCTGTTGGAGCTTGCAGTACTTTTAAATTTGGGAGGACTTACCTTAGGAGAACGAGAGCCTTGGCTCTTGACACTCTTGTCATGTTTTCTGGTTTCGGTGGTTAGTTACTTTGACACCTCGGTTTAGAACGTCCTTGTGTACGTATATATGCATGTTTAAATCTTATATATATGAAAGTAATAATTATGTTTCATGTATAAATAAAAGAAAGCTTGGGCCGAAACGTTAAAGAGGATAGGGGAGGAGCAAACTTCAAGCTACCAAGGGGGAATTTGATCAAGCATCAAGTGAGATAAGTGTAGTTTTCACTATATTACAAGATTATAATAAATGGATACTTGGTTGTTCATGTTTTGAAGTTCTAGAAATTGTGAGTTGATTGTTTAAATTGTTGAGTTTTGATGTAATTGATTGATATTGATAAATTATGAATGAAAACATGTTTGTGATGGTTGAATGATCATATTTAATAGCTTAATCGAAGTTGGTTTGATGAATTAAGGTTAGATAATAGATGAGGAAGTTTCGGCCAAGTGTAGGAATTTGGTAAAAATGATTGATTGTTTAAATTGTTGAGTATTGTTGTAATTGATGGATCTTGATAAATATGATTGAAAACTTGTTTATGATGGTGAATGATCATATTTAATGGCTTAATCGAAGTTGGTTTGATGAATTAAGGTTGGATAATGGATGAGGAAGTTTTGGCCAAGTGTAGGAATTTGATGAAAATGATTGATTTTTATGATTTTAGGTTAATTAGATATTCTTTAGAATGATTTAAAGTGTTTAAAGGTTTTTTATTGTTAAACTTTGGGTTGATTATCTTAATTGATGAATTTGGCTATATTCATGAACTTAGGAGTAGTTAGTTAAATTAGTTACATTGGTATAATTGGATTGTCTATATGTTTGTATGTATTGAATTTGGTGTGAATGAATATGTTGAATATGTTAATTTGATGAATATAGATTGATTACTTAGTAAATTTTGGCCAAACCATAGGATTAATGGTGAATGAATTAATTGATGTTTGATGGTGTTTAAATAAATTAAAGGAATGAGTTAATATATAAATAGGTAATTAAATGAAAAAACTCCTCTTGGTTGGTGATGTGAATAATTTTGCCTATTGGCCATTTTATTGATCTTGTGGTTTATCCATGAAAAATATTCATGAAAGTGAGTACTGAATGAATATTTGATGATTTATGAAAGCATGTGTACATATTATGAATATTTGTTGATTCAAGTTTGATAAAAGTTGGTATTCATATAGTGATTAACTGACTTGTATTATTTGGATTGGTTTAATGTTGTTTAGTGTATTATTTAATTCATTATATAATTATCATGTTTGTAAAGCATTCTTTGAAATGGTTTTCAGCATGTTTTGTGGTTTTCAAAAACAAAATCAAGTACATGGATTTTTAAGAAAATAGTTAGTTATGTCTCAATCACAAGTCGGAGGCTTAATCATTACACACAAAGAGAATAATATGATGAAAACTCTTTGTAGGAATCATAGGATTCACACAAAAATAACAAATTTCACAGAAGACATGTCTAGTGCTTTTCATCTTTCGTAGAAAGCCAAATATATATAACTATATTTGGTAGGGTGTGCTCGATCACAAAAAACGTATTTCTAAAGTCACAAAAATATATTTTATTGCATCATGCATATATAACTACACTTACCGAGTATTAGCTCGCATTTTATTTCTTGTGGTGTAGGTGAAAAAGGCTCAAAGTAATGACATTAACCAAGTTGCCGAGGGAAGATAAATTTTCCAAAATGTGTACTTAATAAATTAGGAGTGAGTGAGGAAATCTTTTCTTTCTTTATAGTATATTTGGACTAAAAAATATGCTTGGTTTAGGCGTTTAGCACTTAAAAATTTGTAAGATAATGGTACTTTAGATTAATTTTAGATATAAATAAATGATTATGTTTGGTTGAGTTTAAATGAGGTTTAAATGAATTAACTTGATGGCTAGACTAATTAAATGGTTTAAAGGATTAATTGAATTAAATAAGAAAATTCAATTGGAATTAAATGACTATAGAGTTAAATGAATTAATTGGTAAGGAATAATGAGTTTAATGGATTAAATTTAATTGATTCAATTCATTTAATTGGAATAGATGTTTTCTAAACTTATAATGAATACCAAAAGATTAATCCATAATTTAGCTTTCAAAAGGCTAAATTAAAGTTTTAATTGAGTAAATTAGTTGGTCTTATGATTTAAAGGATTAATTTTTATTAAACTGAAGTAATAGTAGTTTTAAATGAGGAACTAATTTAATTGGTGATTAAATAAGTGAAGGCAAATTGACTATTTTGTAATAAAGTGGATTATTTTGCAAATAATTTGGATTTTAAGGAAAATTAATAGAAATTAAATATAATTGAATTAGATTAGATTAATTATTCCACTTTATTATTTAATTCGAATTTTTATAAAAGGAATTGAGAAAAATTAATAAGACAAATTAGTTTTTTTTTTTAATTTAAAGTTTTTTTATTAAAGTATTAAAATTGAGTTTTATGATTATGGGTTTTCAAGTAAAATTTTAGATAAATATTTCTATACAATTGACTAAAGAGTATTCTTATAAAAAGAAACTATTTTGAAAAAAATTTATACCTAATTCATATAAGAGATGAACCTAATTAATTGTATTTAATTGGAGATGAGGCTTATTGTCTTATATTTATTGTTGTCTTATATTTATTGTATTAGGAATGTGAGACATTGTTAATAATATCTTCAATTCATTTAAGTTTTAGGCTGGATGTATTACATGTACTTCTAAATCAGCAGGTTTTACACATTAAATCTTCAGTCTGTACAAACATTCCAGGTACCAAATCACATCAAAAACCTCGAATTTGTTTGCAAGCATCACTAAATTTTACCAATTTTTGGAAGAGAACGCCAATAAAATGTCCTATGTATAAACGTTATTAGCACAAAATCACACTAGGAAGATAGAAGGACTAGTATTGCACGCATGAATTATAAATGGGGCAGAAAACCAGGCGACATTATTCAGACTGTATACCCTGGAAGGTATAACAACCTTTGAAAATTAGAACTTATGCATACATTAATTACTCTTATGGATCACAAATAAATCAATAATATTCATCCATGGGTGAGAACAGATGCCTGATCATATCTCTTAACTAGCTAGTACTTTGCATATATTCATGCTAGAAGAAGGAAGTTAATTACAGGCCTCAAACTTGGCCATTGTCAAGGGAATGTCAAATGTGTTAGCTAGACTCCTTATCATAACACAATTCCACCTCTGCTCGAGATAAACACGCCATTGTAGATAAGGCACGATACTGCTGTTGGAGATAAACACGCCACTAGAGATAAGGCATGGTACTGCTGCTAGAAATAAAGACACTGCTGGACAGGCTACAAACTCATAGTTTAATTATACTTCCATGTAATGTACAGACTTATAGTTTAGTTATACTTCTACTATGTATAAATAGATATTGTAGCATGACAGAATGTAATTAATCTTTGACAGAGAAAAACCCTTTTAAATCAAAATCTCATCATGGTATCAGAGCCTATGGTTAACCAAATTGTTCCCGTATCTTCTATTTCAACCACCCCTACCTCGGCTCCTACTACCACTTACAGCTTTGCTATTAAACTCAACCTACGAAATTATCTTGCTTAGAAAACCTAGTTTACTCCTCTTCTTAATTACCATGGCATGAATAACTTAATTGATGGCTCATCTGCTCCATCTACAACAAAACCTTCAACCACAAATTCAAATGAAACTTCGTTAATCCAGATTATACACAATGGTTTAAAAGGGACCAATTGTTGCTATCATGGATTTTGGCATCTTTATCCGAAGATGTTTATTCATACATTATTGGCTGCAATACATTTTTTGCTGCATGGAAAGCACTAGAAAGTTCTTTTGGTTCCGTATCTCAAAACCGTCAACATCAACTTTATGTAGAACTTCAAGAGTTGAAAAGGAATGATCTCAATATTTCTCAATACCTTCAAAAGGCAAAATCTTTGGCTGATGAGTTAGTTGCTTGCTAGAAGATCAATTTCACCTGCTCGATTTAATGCGATTGTTTATTGCAATATTGGTATTGAATTTCATCCTATTGTTTACGCTTTAAATTTATGTGTTGATCTAGTTTCCTTTAATGAGTTGTATAGCCAACTTCTTTCCCATAAGATTTTGTTGAAAAGCTATCAAGTTTCTCCCATGGAAAGTATTGCCATTAGGCCATCCTTTCACCAATCACCAAGGCCAACTTCCATGACTAATCAAGGTCATAATTTTTGACCTTGGAAAAACAACAAAAGAAAGTGTCAAATATGTGGTTATCATAACCACATTGTTGATGCATGTCGACAACGGTATGCTCCTAGACAATTTACTCGCCCACATGCACACATTGCATGGCAATCTACCAATCCTTCATTGCCATATTAAGGATATCCTACATATCCGCTTGCTTCACCAAATCGAACATGATCGCTCCCCATACCAAGCATGGTTTCTCGATACGAGTGCAACACATCACATGACACCAAATCTTCAAACAATAGTTGATCCATAAGCATACAAAGGAGGGGATCAATTCACAATTGGTAATGGACAATCAATGTCAATCTCTCATACCGGTATGGCTTTTCATCCTTTCATTAAAAATACTAACTTGATGCTTAAGGATGTTCTTTATGTTCCCTCTTTATCTAAATCATTGTTATCCGTTCAACGAGTTTACCAAAGACAATAATTGTTATTTTAAATTTCATCCTTCTTATTTTTTGGTTAAGGATTGACGGAACAAGGAACTCCTATTGCAAGGCAAGAGTAATGCGGGCTCGTATGAACTTAATCCTAGCAAACCGCAAGCCCTTTTGAATGAATGTGCATCTTTCCAAACATGGCATGCTAGGTTAGGTCATTCGCGAGTGCGAGCAGTTTCTAGAATAATTGCCGATAATAAATTACCTACATCAAGTCCTTTAAATCATTCTTTAGTTTGTTCCTCATGTAAGTTAGGAAAAATGTTAAAGTTGCCTTTTGCATAT